GTGTTCTCCCGGTGTTGGCGTGAGTTTCCCTCACAAGCCAAAGACATGCGGTATAGGATCAATTGAATAAACTAAATTGGCCCTAGTTTATGGGGGTGTGTGTCAATAGCCCCTTTCACACAGATATGATACCGGTAAATATACAGAAAATTTCGGGAACGACTTTACCGGTAAATACAAAAAAGTGCTGTTCACACAGGCGAGGACGTTACGGAATTTTTCCGGAAAAGAGCATTCACACATCCACTCCAAAATACCAGTAAATTCTGACATCATTCACCAGAAATGACCTCTAAACGGCTGCGCTTGTGTTTGTAAACATTTGACTACATCACAAACTCTGTGGATGGATCAGTATTGTGAACAAATTCGATGAAAATAAATGGAGAAACACGTTTGCATGTCGAGATATACATGATATGTGTGTGTGCCCATGGACTGTTTCATGGGCACACGCAAAGCTTGAAGGTAAACAAACAACGGCTTATCATAAGCATCTCATCGATAATTAATTACACGGTTGGCATTAAGATGAACATATAAACGTTATCTGACTAATTTCTAGCAGCTAAATGTGTCTGGAAAAATATTCTAAGGCTTTTATTCTCATAAACCGCGCGGACGTGAATGCGTCTGACTGTTCTGATTGGCTAAAGCAGGCGTCTCACATCAGCACGTTCTAGACGTGCACGAGCTCTTTCCGGCAATCTTCCTTTTGCGTTCACACAGCGCAGCATTACAAGGCAAATTACCGGTAATGTTACAACTTCTCTTTCCGGAAAATAGCCAGAACGAATTTACCGGTATTTTCAAAAAGGGCCTGTTCACACACACACACCTTTCCGGAAAATTGCGGGTAATTTTCCCGAAGGGTGTGTATGTGTGAAAGGGGCTAATGAATGTGTATGGGTGTTTTCCAGTACTGGATTATAGCTGGATGAGCATCCACTGTGTAAAACATATGCTGGAATAGTCGGCGGTTAATTTCACTATGGCAACCTCTGTCATGGAGACTAATTGAATGAATGAGTTTGTTTGTTTGTTAGATTTAGTTTGCAACATTTCAGAGTTGTAGGTACCATGAAGGTACTCCATAACACTATGGAAACAAAAAGTGATCAAAGTCGAGCAGCTTCACGCTACCAAAAACCCAAGATTGGTGCAAAAAAAAAAGTAATGTTGATGTGCCTCAAAGAACAGTAGCGGGAACCACTGGTTTGGAGAAAATAACTAAGATCTAACTTCTGATTTTTCTTTCCTATAGGTCAAGGTCATGGTACAAAAACAGAACTGCAGTGAAGACCGAAAGAAAGCAAAGAATGCATGTTTACACTGCAAACACCAATCTGCACCTAAGATCAAAAAAAAAAAGCAATTGAGCCTAGAAGCAGCAAGACCATTCATTAGCACTCGGTTTCACTTTCACCTCTTTGTTTGAATTCATCTGTCCTTTGGTGAATCACACACACCCAAGGCGCTGCGAGGAGCGCGACCTTCCCTAGAACCACACCCCTGACTGCCTTCAAGAAAATGGCAGGTTGTTAATGTCATGAAGCTTTTGCAAGTCCATGTCGGCGAGTCATATCGCCTGCGGTCACGTCTGGCCTTTGCTCTGCTCTCCAGGCAGACCTACTATACCATCTAACACCTACTGCGGGTGATGCGGAGGACCTTTGGTGATGTGACCACGTACGTGAACAGAATCGAATGAGTCAGATGCAATATAAAGCTATAAGTTGAAAGGCACAAAGGCTTTTTGCTTCAGCGCAGCTCCAGCGGGGTAATTCCGAGCAAGCCACATATAAGTTCATATATAATTTAATAATGCAATGGATCCCAGTCCTGAGAGGTCTGCGTGGAAAAATGGGGTAACTTTATTTCAAGCAAATGTTTGCTCTGCTAACAACATCTACAAGATGGACGGGGTGCATTTCCAAACTATGCTTCACACACTTCCGAGAGCCGAGTCATTTATACTCAATGATTCAAAAGGGAAATAACCGGAGTGCTGAAGGTTATGGTGCTCAAATCAAACCATCTAGATGTTCCAATATGTCCTTTTCTGACAGACTATCAGCAAAATTTACAAATTACTCAACATATGTAATTTAGCATCCTTACATTTACTTAAAAATAAATGGGAGACAATGACCAATGTCAGATCAAATTTGGCACAAAAAAACAATAAGAATTTTCACATCATCCATATGCTTCAGACATGCTGTAATACAATTTTGAAGTGTGCATCGTTTGCACAGATCCAAAGTCAGACTCTGTAAGTTTAATGCTGACCTCGGCCCAGTTAAATGTGACCCATATCTGATTTTTTGCTCATGTGTGACACAGATCGGATCCGTTCTATGACCGTGTAAACACGAAACAAACGCATGCATTCGGATATTCAGAGATCGTTTTCAGGCCTCCTTCATATGTGGAAATAAATCAGATGTAAATCGTATATGTATTGAAAAGCGGTGTTGTCGCGCCCGTACTGTAAAGCGATGGGGGGAGGGGGGTGACTTGAGCGCGCACTCAAGAGCGGTGTTGTCACTCGCCTACTCAAGGGCGGGACGGAGGGTGTGTCGTGTCGCGGTGGCACTTTTAATCATTTTGGAAGGGCACTTTCTATCCAAGACTAAACAGGGCATGTGCTCTGCACAGGTTGAGCCCTATGTGTGCACGTGCCTGTTGACATGAATGTCATAGTAAATTTTCAACTAATTTTTAGTAGTATAATTATAATTATAACAAATTATTATGTGTCTGGTAGGCGACCTTCGTTACATAAGGTTAACATGGAAATATGAAATAAATTTTAATATACACAACTTTGTGCTTTTGTGCCCAAAATGTAATAAACTGGAACAAAAGTTATTGATATATGAAACCAAAGACTGTTAAATGCTCCCAAATTGATTTCAAAGTCAGAGTAAATGTCATAATGACTAGCCGAGGAAAGCCTGCTTCACAGTAAAATATAGTTAATTCTACACGAAAATACTGTGCAATCACAGTAATGGACTTCACTCTCTACTGTGAAGTTACACTATATGGCTGTAATTTCACAGTAATTGAATGTAACTAAATTACAGTGAACTACCTCACAGTAATTTGGTGTAAATTTACATACAGTATTTTACTGTGAAAGTAATTCAGTTATCAGCCAGTAATTTACTGTGAAATTAAGATGTTTGTTTTTACTGTGTACGAACTTAGTTCAGTCAGTGTGACTGCATTAATGTAAAAGCACAGCATCATATCTATAGCTATGACTGAATTCTCTTATTTACGCTCGCATGCACCTCTCAGTGTCGTGAATAGTGAATGAGTGGTTCGAATGCTTGAATGTGTAAATAGTACAGTAATGCCTCTGACACATAACTTGCTTCAACGTGTAACATCCGGAAGGATGTAAAGATCAGAGTTCGAGAATGAATGTGTGCAATATCATAAATGCACCTTCTAGAAAATCCCACAGCCACTATCCTCCTGCAACACAGATCAACAGAGAACGGGGAAAAAAACATCATAACAGCGCTGCTCATTATTCTGTCAGGAATCATAATGAGCCTGCAATGTAATAAACATTAATGTCTTGTTTTTACGATCAACAAAAGTAGAAGAAAATAATCGAACCGTGTAAATGTTTCCATCATGTTTCTGAATAATTTCGACCACATTTCATAAGCTTTATGACTTTCATCAGTATTTAAATTCAAAGCAGTCAAGTGCAATTACCTCATCACCGCAGGTTGTAAAACCAGTTTGATCAAGGCACCAATTGCATTCTAGTGGGTTGAAACTGTTTACAGCATACAGGAGAGGCGGAGATTACATCAAGCCGGGCTTCACGGATAAGAAGGGATAGTCGAAAATTCTCCAAAACAAAAAAGCCAAAGATTGTTATCGCTCATTCATGATGGATGCGTGGGACTGAATCTTTTATTGTTTATTCAAAGAGGAAAGCCTGGCCTGCTCCTCATCTCCCATTATGACGCATTGCTTCAAGTGCCAAAACCAAATATTCCCCATTGCCACAGGGAGCTGCATGACATCAAGGTTCATGGTGATTTGGACACTCACTCTAGCTATTTATCCAGTGCAAAAGAATGTTTAATCCAGATGAATGCATGCTGCATCCCAGCCAGGAAAGAAAAAAAAAATGTGAAAGGGCTCAGAGCAGTGATCTGTGTATTTGCGCTTTCTTGGCCTTGTAATGACATCATTTAAGCTCGCGGACACGGGCACACACAAATGCATTCACTCAGAAGCGCACAAACTTAGACATAAACAGCGTAATTGCAATCATTGTTTTGTCCTGGGGATGTCTTGACAGTATGCAATGTTGCTGAAAGCATTAATAATTACTGTGCGGTGGGATCCCAAAGACAAACACGTGCGCTTCATCTCAAATCCTGTATTCTGTACCAACATGTGCACTTATTTCAAGACAAAAAAAGCTCTCAAAATGTGGCTAACAGTACAAACAACCTGAAATACAACCAAATTCGAGTCATTGTTATGAAAATCACCTCACTTGACCAGACCTCAAAACCCAAAACTCCATGTTGTATTTCAAAACCATCACTAGGGGATGCTCTTGTATCTAAGGGAGAGAAGAAAAAAAAATCCCACCAGATAACCTTATGGATGGGAAAGAGTATAAATAACCAAGATGGATAAATTCGTGTTGGTATCCACTTGTTTTAGAAGTCCCAGTCAAACAAAAAAAGCATTCATTTCATATGCAGAGGGAAATATGTTGCCATAGAAACCACAATAGCTCCTGACCATTCCTCAAGTGACCACACGTGAATACTGAGTGTAATATGCAATATATGGTGTAAAAATGAGCACTGATGAAGACTACAGAATGCTTACTACAAGAGTATATCAATAATAAGTAATAACTTGTAAAATATGATTTCAAACATATACATTGGGATAGAGAAGAGAGTGTAAATGGGGTTAAAAGGAGCTCTGCGTGATAGCAGACTTACCATATTTACTTCTGATACCATGTCTATACTGGCTATGTCTATATTCATCCCCACTCCCACCGGAGGACCTAAAGAACCAAACCAAACAGTAGCAGTGGCATTAGAGCTAATTAATTGTGTTTAGCATGATATATGAACATGTGAGGCACATTATTCACTTAACGTCAGCCTGATAACATCCGGGAGGTAACCAAAAAGTGAGCCAAAGATCGTCTAAACACACGGTTTTCGTTGTGACCGAATTTATTAGCTGCCGTCGTGGTGAGCGTCACCGGCGATACTATTAATGATTAATTTTGGCAAATGGCAAGAGCCACTCGAAGCTGCCATGGACGTGCAGATGTTTAAACTGGTGTCATGCATTCCATTCGTCAACTTTGACTGGTGGGAGATCGCGTAAAATGAAAACAAGTGCGCCCAAGTCTCATCTCCGAGCCTGAGGTGTATTCGCGGTACATTCGCGCGCGTCTTCCATGTTGACGCGCGTACGCTTTCCACTATATCAAAGTTGAGAGCTGATGTTAAAAGGCTGACGTGACAGACCTAATTACAAACGTGCGTTACCTCCAAAATCTGGCCTCAAGCGAATGTCATATCCTTTCAATAGTCTATCAACAGTTTCTTTTACGAGAGACATATTGCTTGGATCATTGACACTGCGAAGAAGGGGAAAACACACACCGTTAGAGACGTCTCCTTAAAGAGCGGTGTACTTGTGGTGTGTGTGTGTGTGTGTGTGTGTGTGTGTGTATGTGTGTGTGTGTGTGTGTGGAGTACAGACAGCCGTATGAAGTGTGAGGAGAGCTTACCTTTGCGCACACACCACGGCCACTATCACGGGAAACGTCCAGACGCGCGCGAAGCTCTTTTGCCTTATTCTGAAGATCGCCATACTTTTATATGTTTTCTGGTTTCCGTGAAGACAGAGAAGATCCAACTTAGAGTGCGCTGTGCAGTAATTCCTCTGTGGTGCGCATGCGTACATACTCCAGCGCAGCATCCAGAAGCGGTATGGTGCTGATGGTGTTCGAGGAGCACTTTCCGATCAGATACAGGGAGATGTTAAAGGGAAAACAACGAAAACATCAAAGTGATGACAACTACAGTGTGTGAGAATCAGGAGAGAAGCAGCACTGTCTTGTAAAGTGAGCTTTTTGTGTTTTTTTTTTTCTTTTGACATGAGGCACACATCTGTCTTAATGTGAAGTAGGAATCTTTTTTTAATCATTAAAATCTTTAAATTTGAATGAGTGTTGAGTTCTGTTGGTCTGCCTTTTGGAGAGGTGTAGACGAGCTGGATCCTTCAGAGCATCACCACCCCAATACGTCAAGGGGAATCCAAAGCAACCCCCTTACAATGTGTGTGAAGGACAGGGACCTCAGCGGCTAAATAAATAGGCTGTGCAGTTTATTTATGCTGTCATAAGATTCACAACATTCATCTGTAGATTAAGTAAGGAAACGTGAAATATTATATCTATAAAGCAGTTTAAAAAGTATGTGCCATATTTGAATAAATAAATAAAAATATAATAATGCATGTCCACATAAACCTTTAAAATAAAAAGGGTATATTCATCAACAAAAATGTGGCATTAATATTAGTATATATTACAGGGAAATATAAATGGGAAAACTAGGAAAACATCAAAGTGACGACAACTACAGTGTGTGTAAATCAGTAAAAAATCAGCACTGTCTTGTAAAGTGAGCTTTTGTGCATTTCTTCATTCAAATTTGACGTGAGGCGCACATCTGTCTTAATCTTTCTTTTTTTATCATTAAAATATTTAAATATGAACTTTACATGAGTGTTGATTTCTGTCGGTCTGCCTTTTGGAGAGGTGTAGATGAGCTGGATCCTTCAGAGCATCACCACCCCAATACGTCAAGGGGAATCCAAAGCAACCCCCTTACGGTGTGTGTGAAGGGCAGGAATCTCAGCGGCTAAATAAAGAGGCTGTGCAGTTTATTTATGCTGTCATAAGATTCACAACATTCATCTGTAGATTAAGTGAGGAAACGTGAAATATTATACTCATCTATTAAGCGGTTTAAAAAGTATGTGCCATATTTGAATACATAAATAAAATAATAACAATGCATGTCCAAATAAACCTTTAAAATAAAAAGGGTATATTCATCAACAAAAATGTGGCATTAATATTAATATATATTACAGTGAAATATAAATGGGAAAACTAGGAAAACATCAAAGTGACGACAACTACAGTGCGTGTGAATCAGTAAAAAATCAGCACTGTCTTGTAAAGTGAGCTTTTGTGTATTTCTTCATTCAAATTTGACGTGAGGCGCACATCTGTCCTAATCTTTTTTTATCATTAAAATATTTAAATATGAACTTTACATGAGTGTTGATTTCTGTCGGTCTGCCTTTTGGAGAGGTGTAGATGAGCTGGATCCTTCAGAGCATCACCACCCCAATACGTCAAGGGGAATCCAAAGCAACCCCCTTACAGTGTGTGTGAAGGACAGGGACCTTAGCGGCTAAATAAAGAGGCTGTGCAGTTTATTTATGCTGTCATAAGATTTACAACATTTATCTGTAGATTAAGTGAGGAAAAGCGAAATATCATACTCATCTATTAAGCGGTTTAAAAGGTGTGGGCATATTTGAATACATAAATAAAATAATAATAATGCATGTCCACATAAACCTTTAAAATAAAAAGGGTATATTCATCAACAAAAATGTGGCATTAATATTAATATATATTACAGTGAAATATAAATGGGAAAACTAGGAAAACATCAAAGTGACGACAACTACAGTGTGTGTGAATCAGGAGAAAAGCAGCACTGTCTTGTAAAGTGAGCTTTTCTGTATTTCTTCCTTTAAATTTGACGTGAGGCGCACATCTGTCCTAATCTTTTTTTATTATCATTAAAATATTTAAATATGAACTTTACATGAGTGTTGATTTCTGTCGGTCTGCCTTTTGGAGAGGTGTAGATGAGCTGGATCCTTCAGAGCATCACCACCCCAATACGTCAAGGGGAATCCAAAGCAACCCCCTTACAGTGTGTGTGAAGGACAGGGACTTCAGCGGCTAAATAAAGAGGCTGTGCAGTTTATTTATGCTGTCATAAGATTCACATTATTTATCCGTAGATTAAGTGAGTAAAAGCGAAATATCATACTCATCTATTAAGCGGTTTAAAAGGTGTGGGCATATTTGAATACATAAATAAAATAATAACAATGCATGTCCACATAAACCTTTTAAATAAAAAGGGTATATTCATCAACAAAAACGTGGCATTAATATTAATATACATTACAGTAAAATATTAATGGGAAAACTAGGAAAACATCAAAGTGATGACAACTACAGTGCGTGTAAATCAGGAGAAAAGCAGCACTGTCTTGTAAAGTGAGCTTTTTGTGAATTTCTTCCTTTAAATTTGACGTGAGGCGCACATCTGTCCTAATCTTTTTTTTTATTATTAAAATATTTAAATATGAACTTTACATGAGTGTTGACTTCTGTCGGTCTGCCTTTTGGAGAGATGTAGATGAGCTGGATCCTTCAGAGCATCAACACCCCAATACGTCAAGGGGAATCCAAAGCAACCTCCATACAGTGTGTGTGTGAAGGACAGGGACTTCAGCGGCTAAATAAAGAGGCTGTGCAGTTTATTTATGCTGTCATAAGATTTACAACATTTATCCGTAGATTAAGTGAGGAAACGTGAAATATTATACTCATCTATTAAGCGGTTTAAAAGGTGTGTGGCATATTTGAATACATAAATAAAATAATAACAATGCATGTCAACATAAACCTTTAAAATAAAAAGGGTATATTCATCAACAAAAACGTGGCATTAATATTAATATATATTACAGGGAAATATTAATGGGAAAACTAGGAAAACATCAAAGTGATGACAACTACAGTGTGTGTGAATCAGTAAAAAATCAGCACTGTCTTGTAAAGTGAGCTTTTGTGTATTTCTTCATTCAAATTTGACGTGAGGCGCACATCTGTCCTAATCTTTTTTTTTTTTTTATCATTAAAATATTTAAATATGAACTTTACATGAGTGTTGATTTCTGTTGGTCTGCCTTTTGGAGAGGTGTAGATGAGCTGGATCCTTCAGAGCATCACCACCCCAATACGTCAAGGGGAATCCAAAGCAACCCCCTTACAGTGTGTGTGAAGGACAGGGACCTCAGCGGCTAAATAAAGAGGCTGTGCAGTTTATTTATGCTGTCATAAGATTCACATTATTTATCCGTAGATTAAGTGAGGAAAAGCGAAATATCATACTCATCTATTAAGCGGTTTAAAAGGTGTGTGGCATATTTGAATACATAAATAAAATAATAACAATGCATGTCCAAATAAACCTTTAAAATAAAAAGGGTATATTCATCAACAAAAATGTGGCATTAATATTAATATATATTACAGTGAAATATAAATGGGAAAACTAGGAAAACATCAAAGTGACGACAACTACAGTGTGTGTAAATCAGTAAAAAATCAGCACTGTCTTGTAAAGTGAGCTTTTGTGCATTTCTTCATTCAAATTTGACGTGAGGCGCACATCTGTCTTAATCTTTTTTTATCATTAAAATATTTAAATATGAACTTTACATGAGTGTTGATTTCTGTTGGTCTGCCTTTTGGAGAGGTGTAGATGAGCTGGATCCTTCAGAGCATCACCACCCCAATACATCAAGGGGAATCCAAAGCAACCTCCATACAGTGTGTGTAAAGGACAGGGACTTCAGCGGCTAAATAAATAGGTTGTGCAGTTTATTTATGCTGTCATAAGATTCACAACATTTATCCGTAGATTAAGTGAGTAAAAGCGAAATATCATACTCATCTATTGAGCGGTTTAAAAGGTGTGGGCATATTTGAATACATAAATAAAATAATAACAATGCATGTCCACATAAACCTTTAAAATAAAAAGGGTATATTCATCAACAAAAATGTGGCATTAATATTAATATATATTACAGTGAAATATAAATGGGAAAACTAGGAAAACATCAAAGTGACGACAACTACAGTGTGTGTAAATCAGTAAAAAATCAGCACTGTCTTGTAAAGTGAGCTTTTGTGTATTTCTTCATTCAAATTTGACGTGAGGCGCACATCTGTCTTAATCTTTTTTTATCATTAAAATATTTAAATATGAACTTTACATGAGTGTTGATTTCTGTCGGTCTGCCTTTGGAGAGGTGTAGATGAGCTGGATTCTTCAGAGCATCACCACCCCAATACATCAAGGGGAATCCAAAGCAACCTCCATACAGTGTGTGTAAAGGACAGGGACCTCAGCGGCTAAACAAAGAGGCTGTGCAGTTTATTTATGCTGTCATAAGATTCACAACATTTATCTGTAGATTAAGTGAGGAAACGTGAAATATTATACTCATCTATTGAGCGGTTTAAAAGGTGTGGGCATATTTGAATACATAAATAAAATAATAACAATGCATGTCCACATAAACCTTTAAACAGAAATTTGAGAAAAATATGAAATAATTTAAACTCAACAGGAGGGCAAATCCCTTGAGCATGGTGGTAATGAGGGAGCAGTTGTGCGCAATGCATTTTTAGAGGAAACCAAATGAACTTAGGCAATTCAATGGTCAATATATTCGCTTGCTGTTGTGTTGTTTGAGATGCTGCTGCTCAAGTACTGTAAGTGAACTGTTCCACTGGCTAATGATGTTGATCTTGAGCTGCCTTTGTGTATGTCGTCTTCTGGTGCATGGCAAATGTGCTAGCTGCTGTGAAAAACTGGTCAAAGGAAGGGCCGCTTCTGTGTGCACCAATTGATCGCACTAGCATCTGCAATCATTAGATCCATGATCAGCCCTTTATTCATCTTTGCTTGAGCGAGGAGATGTCAAGGTTAAAACCACAAGCTGCCATGTGTTTGGGACCTGACATAGATGCTGGAGGACAGGTCTACCTTGACTGCTCTCATCATGAAGAAGAAGATGTTAAAGAGCATTGTGACTACCTTTGTTTTATGCTGTTTCCTATTGAGCTTCAGTACTTCATGCAGTAAATTAGCTTAGACTTGGATTGAATTTTAAAATCAGAATGAAATCAAATTTTATAATGTATTAGTGCAATTGGAGTTTGCATGCACCACCTTGTTTGTGTGGATTTCTCCTGGGTGCTCTGGTTTCCCTCACAGTCCAAAGACATGTGGTATAAGCAGGGCTTAAATTGTGCCAGGATACGCCGTATCCAGCACCTCTGAAGTCTGACCCAGCACCACATTTTACTGATCCACCTCCTCACC